CAAATTCTGCTTGGCTGATCTGGTTGTAAGCAGTCTATGCACGCATCATCTGGTGGTGAAGTTAGTGGAGTGTTGATGCCAATGGCATGGATGTGCGCCGTGCGTTTCCCAGATCGAGCACAAGGTTCTCAGCTTCTTGCGTCCGTTCCACACGCGACGCAAACGCGTATCATGAGGGTTTTGTCGAAAAAGTCAATCTCAGTACTTGGCGGGCGCTGCTTCATAGTCTTCTGAAGTTTGTGGAAAAAGGGATCGATGCCGAATCGTTGAACATCCCTGTTGAATGGAAGATCTTGTATCTTCACAGAACATTGCTGCTTGTCATATTGAGCTGCCTGTCAACGCCATCCATCTCCTTACGGAGAATGTCCACCTGCGGTGGCTCAAAGATGTCCTCCAACAGGGTGCGCGCAAGATCCTGGCAGAACTGGTAAGGGTAGACCTGTGGCAGTTTGGTTCTGCTTCCAAAGGTGCCCGCGTTGCCTTCAAGCGGTTCCTGTTCATGTGTCACTGGTGTCCTGAAATTCTTTGCATTTCTTGAAATTTGGTTTCCCTACCTTAGGAGGCAAGCAGTAAAGCAAGCTTGCTGGCTTTAGGCTTCTAATTTCGGTTTCAGGGCCTTTCAGCCCATAAGCGCAGACATGAATGGGTCACGAATGGATCTGCGAACAATTACTGCGCGCAGGCACCAGATTTTGGAGGACTGAAGATCTTGAATGATGAACTATCTCTTGTGCTTCAATTGGTATCGTGCAATCGATGCCACAACTTCAGCCATGAAAGTGCAGCGCTTTCGCTTTTGCAGACCTTTTGTTGGTCTCTTTCAATGTTCTTCATGTTCGGTCATGGTCCGCACACCGGTGCCATGAGGATGACATCGGGCGCTTGCTCCTTGATGGTCTCCATGACCGTGCGTCGTCCCTTGGATGTCATTGTGAATATTGTCAACAGGAGCGCCAACCCTTCGTCCTGCAGGTGCGCAGCGTTGGCTGAACCTTGCACTTCCCGCAAAGATCTCGAGAGCATGGATTCTCCCTTTTCTGCCACAGCTCCAATGTGCTTGCTCAGGAATGGAAGAGAGGTCTTCCACAAACATGTTCTCCGCCGGCTTCGTGCCTGCGACCTTGGAGGGGTCTTCGCGGTAGGGATCGTCGTATTCGTTGGCCACATGGGCTGCACCGTCGTCGGCGGTGCTCTTTCTGAAGGATTGACCGTCGGCGACCACCCTCTTTGCCTCTTGAGTTTCTTTCTCCTTTCGTTTTCCAAATCTCAAATTCCGCTCTGACACCTTTTTGGCAATGAACGCGTCGTTTTCCTCGAGGATCCAGAATGTCTCCTCTTCTTCTGCTGCGAAGAATCCATCATGTCCACCATCATCTTCAAGCCAAAAATGGACCTTATTCTCCTTCGTACTCTCCTTACTCGAGGATGTAGAAGGTGTTTTTGCGGTTGCCTCCTGGAGGTCTGATGGATGGAGATTGAACTGATATTCTTGACGTTGTGATACTGTGTTTCAGCATCTCGTCTGTTTAGATTTCAAGCTGGATGTTCCTCAAGGACATCGCGCTCATAAGTCTCTCTCTCTCTGCTGATCTGACAATCCACTCTAGAAAATGATTTTTTTGCGCAATGAGATTCATATTTAGTGGAACGCGTCCCGGTGTGTTGTCTGTGCGTCTGCTACACACTGTCTCAGAACCCGGCCATCCGAGGCCAATAGCTGCATGGACGGCTCTCTGGCAGCTGCTTGCTGTTGCTGAGCGACTGCACGATTGTTTGCGTCTTGCGCTGAAGTCTGGCGATTGCGCCGTGATGACGGCATCAAAGCTTTCCGTGTTGACTTGAGCCTCCTGAGCAGATCTCGAAATTTGATGCGAAAGTGGGAAAGTGGTTGAGGAGCCGGAGCCTGTAGAATTGTCGAGCAAATCTCTGTACATGCTAGCATCTCCTGTGAGCCTGGTTTCGAGGAGAAGTCCTCTTCTCTCTGACAAGTCATCGACGAGTTCCTCATACGACGGCGGCTGTTTGTCATCGATAGATCTTCTCAGCGCTGCCGATGGGTCGGCCTGCACTGGTGTAGGCCTCCATGAAGCTTCCCCATCTGATGACATCTTGGATGGGTCTTTTCTGAAAAACTTGAGGGGTTCAATAGTGACTTAGTATTGGTGGGCTTAATTAAGCACAGACTAAGCAAATACTAAGCAAGAAGGAAAGCGCCTTTTCTGACAAGTTTTTGTTGGCTGGGGGGGCTGCAGAGGGATACCTTTAATCAGGGGGTTTTGGGGAGGGCCCAAAAATAATTGGGTATGTTTTTTGGGGGGAAACCTTTTTGGAACTTTACTTTAGTATTGGTGAGAAACTGGGGAAGGAAAGGGGAGCCTTTAATCGGGGGGGGGGGTACTAATCGTCTCCTGACATTACTTGCGCAACCAGAGTCATGTGCTTGCAGCGCATTACAGACACAGAGAGATCAATACAACAATCAGAGAGGCATCCATAGTTTGCCCAATATATCGGTTATATATTGGGCTTGACCCGAAATAGATCTCAGGGCCATTGAGATCTACCGGACTCACTTGTGGGTTTTCCAAAAAATCTGCTTTTGCTTTATTGAAATTTGTTTCAAATGAAAAGGTTTTCAAGCTCACAAAGGGGACCCCCCTTGGAGGCCAGTACCCCCTCATTAACAGGAAACGCCCCGCGATTAATCAGGGCCCTTTTGGGCTCAAACCAAAAAATGCGATGTTGCCTTTTAAAGTCCTAGCCCCGAAAAAACCAAAAGTAAGAGGACGAGGACCAACAAAGGTCCAGAGTAATTTTTTGGGACTTGCAAGCCTTGGGGGGGGTTTACAAATCAGTTGTCACCATTACAAAGGCAGGGCCTTCAGCCAAAATTGTAGATTTTGTGAAGGTCAACAGAAACCCGCAAGAGCAACTACAAGATACGCGTCCGGAACAATTACAAGAAGCGCACTTGTCTGCTTGCTACTGCCAGCGCTCTCGCCGAGCTCACAAAGCACCCCCTCCACTCGGCCAGTTCGTCCTTCTGCTCCTGCAATACCATTAGCAGCGATCCATGAACTGCTGGTAGAACTTCAACTCTTTGTCGTTCTTCGCTGCGTGCGCTTCAAGTACAGCTCAGCAAAACATCTTGCGCCAGATTAGAAAAACGTCAGCTCGATTCTCCCTTGCTTGGGCTGCACTTGCAGCCGAGCCTCAAATGCCCGGAGCTCATCCCTCCGCCCGCCTGTTGTCGCTGAAGGAAGCGGCGCAAGGCAGCCCTCTCTGGAAAGGCCGGCTTGCCTCGCCTGGCCAAGCGGCGCAAAAGCGAAGCCATGTCTTGGCACTGCGACTGTCGCATTTCTGCGGCGCTTGTCGCCAGGTAGCCCAGCAGAACCTCAAAGCGGTCCTCGCTTGCATTGCTGTCGTCGCGGTCCATGGCGCGAACACACGGCCGAAATGCCAAGCTGTCCTATATACCTGACAGGTGTGCAAGCGGCCGGCTGAAACGCCAAGCCGCCGCAAAAACAATGACAGCCTGTCCTGCGTGTTGTTGCTGATGATAGTTGTCTGTAAAAGGTCTTCCTAGAGGCAACACCGGCGCCACCAATACTGATAGCGGCCGACTCTGTGCGCAAAAACAACAACAGAACACAACACCTGTGTTAGCCTTTAGCAAACTAGGAGATATGTTGTGTGACAAGTTGCATGGTGAGGTGTGAGGTGCGCCAGACGCCCAAGTTACAAAAAACGATTTTCACGCAATGGCTTCTTGGCAGTGGTTTCACTGCCATTTTCCTGAGTGGAACACGACCCCCTAAGACACGTTCATAAGCGTGTCATTCAACAGCGTGCCAAGGAATCTGTACTCGACCTTGCGAAAGTGCTGCGCTACCACGAAATCTGTACTCGACCTTGCGAAAGCGCTACGCCGCCAGACCTTGAAAACGTGCTGCGCCTGCCAGGAGATCTGCACCTGACCTTGCGAGAAAGCTGCGCCTGCCACGCAAGTCAACCCTTGCGAAACCTTCGCGCACTATGCCAATCCGTTCCGAAACTGCCTCCGCACAGATGTTTGGCGTGCGCTTGACCTTGCGAAAGTCGAAATCCGTCCTTCCAAAAGTGCTGCGCCAGTCACGCAACCTGCGCCTGACCTTGCGAAAGTTCTGCGCCTGCCACAAATTCTGTACCTGGCCCTACGAAAGCGCTGCGCCTCCGGGGACGCGCGCAGGCATCGCAACCAATGCGGTTTGTGTACTGTCCGGGGGCCGAGTCCACACACAGAACCAACGTCGCCATCCCCCAGCTCTCGAGATTGATCCGAGAGAACCAGCTTTGGACATGGCTAGGAATGTTGACGGGGAATACCTTCATTTGCTGGACACAAATCCCAATGATCCTTTAAAAAGTTTAACAACGACCAAGGTCATTGAAAGTATGAAAAGGGCCCTTGGCTGAGTGTTCTGACAAACCGGCTGCAAGGGCACTGACAGTCACCATTTTTGGGGCCCCCTATTTTGCCGCACACACACACACACGACCATATGGGATAGTTAGGATCCAGTGTAAGTTTCAATCGCCAGACTTCATGAACAGGTCTCGCTGGTCGCCGAGCTGGAGCACCTGGAGTTGATCATTTTTGTTTTTTTCACACACACCCATGCAGCTATCTGATTGTCAAAGCTGTTACGCTAACCATGTTGGAAAGCTATCTCTGTGTCAAGCCATCTGGCATGGCTTTGTGTCAAAGCAGCTAGCTCAGAAAGCTCCAGTGCTAGAACAGAAAAAGCGAAACATCGAAGTCAGCCCTGGAGCGATTTATTTTGCCCAATGAGCGCAACCTGGAATTCGCCAACGCCTGCGAGGCTTGAAAGTCCTGTAGCGATTTAGCCAAACAAGCGCAGCACGGAATTTGCCAATGATTGTGAAGGCACGGAATTCGACAATGCCAAAGAGACACTGCCAAGTCTTCAGCTTTGTACTGAGACTGGGCGCCTGGCAGCTCTTGAAGTTGAAACTCAGGAATCGGGCTGGCTCTTTGACCACTTCCTGGCCCAGTTCGTCAGCAGCTCCCCTTGAAAGGTTGAAAGCTCGCGTGGGCTCTAACGCAGCTCCTTTAGTCGCTTGTAGGGCAGACCGCAGAAGACTGTTCGTTCGGCTGTTTCCCCCAGATGGCTGAACAAGTGAAACAGGGGTCCGGCCAAGAACCAGAGTTCTGCAGGGTTCTGCAGGGCGCTGCCTTGCGCTGGCCAAGGCTCAGAGTCTGCGCGGGCGCTGCTGGGAAGGTGCTGCAGCGGCCAAGGCTCAGAGTTGCGTAGGGTTTCCGCAGCTGCTGCAGGGCGCTGTTTGGCGGGGCGGTGTTGCAGGCGCTGCTGCTGTCGCAGGGCACTTGAGCGGGCGCGTTTACCAGTACGCGCGCAAGCGAGACCTCTCGCTAACCAACACGCGTGGGGGTCTTTGCCTGAAGTCCAAGTTGACAGGGTGCAACTGACCACTCCCAACCTCAAAGCAATGTGAAAAATGTGCCGAATCTGCATTAACCAGACAGATATTTCGAGAAACAACATGTCCTGTAAACACACATCAGACTTGTCAACCTGAATTTTTCTGAAACTGAAGAAGCCAAAAGTTCCCTAACGGACTCATCCACAATCACCACGCCAACAGCTTCTTAGTTGGCAAGAAACCTCCTGAAGGCAGAAGGCAGGAAAACCCTTCCTCCGCCCTCGAGCCCGAAGCGCCTGACGAAGAAACGTGAGGCGTGAAGGCCCTGAGGCACAGCAAGAGCGCACACGTGGCTTGAAAAGTTTGCATCTCAAGCGAACTTGGGACTAAGGGTAGGGCCACGTTCTGGAAAGGGCGATAATTCATTAATGTTTAAAATTTTCAAAAAACATCGGTATACTGTGGCTCCGCTGGCAACTGGTTCAACAAATAAGTAAGCTTCGCTTTCCAGAGTTGGGATGGAAACAGAAAAGGCCTACGCCGCATGAATGCTAAACATCAGACGCATAGATGACTGTTGAGAGCCAGTTTCGCGAAACAACCTTTCGTGGCCTTCATCGCGGAATTTCGCGGGGCGACGAGCAGCACGAAGTACAAATTCGTGGTCCAGCCTGACAGTCCCAACTTTTCAGTACGACGTCTCTCGTCACAACTCTGTTGTCTTTCTTGGCGACTCCCGTCATGTCTCTTGTCATGTGAGTCGTCACCCGTTGCGTCGCGTCTCTGGTCTTTTATCACGTGTCTCGCCGCGCCTGTCGTCACGACTCCGTCGCGCTTCCCGCCTCCTCATCGTTAGGATCGCCTCCGTCCAGCGCCACGCGTGCCCTCGACCATCAGAAGAGGTTGCCGTCGATGCTGGGGGTCTGGGTGGGGGCCGACTCATCCGAGGTTGCTGGGTCGCCTCGCATTCCTGCTGAAGCCCATGGAAAAATACGGCGGTCGCCGGCCCTCCTCCTCGTGAACATGCGCGCAGCGGCCGGAGAAACCACATCGCGGCTCACGCTTGTTGAGGCCAGCAGCTTTGTCGAGGACGCTGCGCTCAGGCGTGTCTTGCTTCTGGTACTCCGAAGATGTTCGCCAAGTAGGTGGCGACACTCAATCCAGGCGATCTCAGGGAGTTGAGGAACTCTCCTTCCGGAGCCAACGCAGCAATCATGATCAAGCGGCACTCCCTGGCTCACCCCAGATGCCTCCTGGTCCGCAGGACCATCTCCCTGATCATCGCGGGCGAGGTCACCGCGCACAAGCGGCAGCAAGAGAAACGCATCGCTGCCGATCCTCTGCCGAAGCTGGCTAGCATCCCTTTCCTTGACCGCCTTGAAGAGGAGGAGCAAGGGGTCCGGTGGATGCCGCCAGGGACCACGCTGGCTGAAATGCACGATCTATCGATGTCATTCCTGCCAGACACGCGACTGTCGTCTTCGACCTTTATCGGATGCTATCACCTGCGGTGGGCCAAGCGCCTAAAGATCCGCAACGAAGGCCAGCACAGCAAGTGCTCCCTTTGCGAGCGATTTAAGGCGTATCGCAAGCAGTGCAGTGCGCCGGCTGACTCCAAAAAAGTTTCCGAGGAGTACGCAAGCCACTTGGAAGCTGTCATGCAAGACAGGGCCGCAGACCAGCGCCTGTGCGCAGCCGCTCAGTTGGCTGCGGGGTCCTTGACAGGAGTTCCCAGCAGCGAAAATTCGCTGCTATCCATCACAATCGACGCGATGGACGCAGCGAAATTTCGCTGCCCGCGCAACATAGGCGCCTCTAAAGAGTTTCAAAACCTTTGGCGACCCGAACTGAGTCTGATCGGTGCAATCACAGAAGGCCTGCGCGAGTGCTACTACTTGTGCGATCCCGACCTGTCAAAGAACGCCGACCTTCACATCACAATCATCGGCCATTCTTTGCAGCTTGCGAAAGAGAGCTTTCAGGCGCGGGGAAAGCCATTTCCCCGCCACCTGCGGCTCCACACCGACAACGCGGCGTCCGAAGGAAAAAATCACACAGTTTTTTTCTGGCAGCTTGGCTGGTGAAGCGCAAATTGTTCGACAGCGTGCTCCTAACTCAGTTTCAAGTCGGACACACGCACAGCAAAATCGACCAACTATTTTCTGAATTGAGGTCGGCGCTGTCGCAGTCCACCGTGCTGGGGGACCCGTCAGCTTTTGCAGCGGCAATCCGCTCCGGGGTGAAGCCCAGAGAGTCCCGCGAGCTCGCCTTCCACCACCTGCACGCAGCCCCAGACTTCAAAAGCTTCTTTCAACATTTGGAGCTCAGAGTGTCCGGGCACGCGCAGACTAAATTTCAAAAGCAGCGGAACAAGGAAGCGATTCATGCTTTTGGATTCGCGCTCCGCGGTAGCACCAGTGGCGGGCCAACTCTGCCATCAGCCGATCCTGACGCAGAGGATGTGATACTGACTTGTCAGCAGTGCCTGAGCAGCCACGAGCCTTGCCAAGAGCCCGCTGTGTTTGCTCAGGCCACCGACTTTGAAAAGCTGCCGCCTAATGGCCCCTCGCAGCTGTCTGCACGGCTTTTGCTTTCGCAGCGCCAGCACCGGGAGTTCCAAAAAACTGCAGAGGCGATTTCGCGGGAGCCCACGCAGGGTGCGCGTTTTTGCTGCAGTTTCTCGAAGAGAACGCGAACAACACTTCCGAGCAATGGGTCCCTCTGCCCACGCAGTGGATGTTGCAGGGGACTCGCGCGGAGGTTGACGCTACCCGCGACGAACCGGTAGGACGGGCGCTGGCAGAAAATGCATTTTCTTGGAACCACGCCAAGCCCGCGCCAGTCCAAGTTGCAAGGCCACCGCAAAAATTGCGGCGCCTGCAAGTCAAGCAGCCAACGCTGCTGCGACAACCGACAATCGGAGACGAGAGCAGGCGCTAGCAGTTCTGAGGCAGCAGCTGTTCCAGAGCAGGGCCAGACTCTGTCCCACCCAGAGGCTGAGCGACGCCAGAGCTGCCACCGCCCGCCGGTCCACTGGATGGAGGACCACTCTTGCCAGCCGCTTCTCGCGTGTCAGATCAGGGGCAGAGCACGGCAGGGATACCATGGGTGCCCCGGCAGCCTTATACGGCAGAGGCGGCGCTCCGCCAAGAGTGGCAGCGCCCGGCTCAGACCCTTCGCCACGGCCAGCGGCCAAGCCGGCGGCAAAAGCCAAGGCCGGAGCAAAGGCAAAGGGCAAGGCGAAGGCCAAGGCCGCCAGTAAGGCAGCTGCAGCCAAGCATCTGCCAAGGCCTGGGCCCAGGCTCTAGGCTCGGAAGCGCCCGCTGCCAGGCCACCCCGCAGACACCTGGGGCGCCTGCCAATGCCCGCTGGCGCTGCTGCGCTTCTCGGCTGCACCTGGTGTCGTTACAGCGCGTCTGGCTGCCAGCAGTGTCGAAAAAAGGCCGGCATCCAGCTGAGCCAGGACGAAACTGCGTGGATCTGGAGGCCCGCCTAGCCAGCCAAGGTGAAAGCTTGGCGGGAAAAAGAATCGCTGCCCTGCCTAGACTGATTCCGATTCGACGCAGGCTACATTTGGCCACACTTCTGACCGCAACTTACTATTGCCGTCCAACGGTTCGTTCCGCGATGCGCGTTGGCAGTGTTGCTTTTCTTTGCGTCTTTGGCTTAGAACAGTTCTCTCTGATGTGTTTCACAGCTGCAGCTCAACCCCCACATCTTGGCTCAAACCATAGCACCATGAAGAAGCCCATAGACAGGCACCCGTGACAAGTCAACCCACCACTTCCATTTGTCATACCTCCTGTTCAAATTGAACCCAGTCATCCTGGTCCGTCCAGCATCATGGCCGACCACAGCGACGACGTTGTCATTGCTTGTCCGCTTTGCTTCAAGCTTTGAGATTTGTCACACATCTACATTTAGAAGCAGTAACTAGCATCGGTCATGATGTTGAGTCACTGATATCTCCGCCGCCAGGTCAGCTTCGCAGCACCGGTCGGCCATCGAGATCGAAGACGAGGACGCAGGGCAGCACATCTTCATGGAATTCTTCTCGCCACCGCGGGTCGCCATACCTTTGCGGCGCGAGAGATTTCTAGCAGTGTACAGCTTTGACATCGTCACGGGCTACGATTTCCTGCAGTTCGAAGATCGCGCCCGGGCATGGAGCTTACTTGAAGCACATGACCCAATGTTTGCAATGCTGTCTTCCCCCTGCACGATGTTCAGCACAATGCAAAACGCCAATCTCGCGAAAATGAATCCCGCAGACAGAGCGCGGCGATTTGAGGAGGCAAACTGTCTACTTGACTACTCAATGATGGTGGCCAAGCGACAGTGCCGCAAGCGACGGCTCTTTGCCCATGAGCACCCTCAGAGGGCCAGGTCTTGGAAGCGACCAAGTGTCCAGGCCGTAGCAAAAGAGCCCGGAGTTCACAAGGTTTCTTTTGACCAGTGCAGGGTGAACTTGCGCACCCCGGTCACCAAGAAGCTTCTCAAAAAACGGACGACGCTGCTGACAAACTCTGCAGCTCTCGTCAATCTTTTCACCCCCCTTCAATGCTGCTGCTCTGAGGCACACGCAGTCATCGAAGGCTCCGAGGGCGGCATCTCCCTCAGCAAGTGGTGCCAAGTCTACACGCCAGAGTTTGTCGATTTGCTGCAGAAGGCCGTCAAAGCAGAGTGGGAAAGCCGCCGCTAGACGGCAGCTGCGGCGCTTGCGCAGGGCCAGCATGCAACCTCTCGGGACGCCCGCCCAGAGCGCTGGCAATAGCACGTCGCCGACTCCAAGGAAGAAAAAAAAGGAGTGACACCCATTGTGTTGTCATGTCCAAATCTTGACGATCTGGGGGGGCAGAATTTCCGCCCCCCCCACATGGTCAAGTTTCGGCAGAAACTTGACGATCCCTCCTGTGAGTTATCAAAACTTGACGATGTGGGGGGCAGGATTCCCGCCCCCCCAGTTGGTCAAGATTTAGGGTTTTGTAGTTTGGGAAATGTCACCCCCTCCCCCAGACAAGTTTTGGCTCAAATGACATTGGAAAGGACACACGCATCAGCAGTAGCCACGCATAGCCAGCTTCACATTCACATCAACAGCTTCACCCCCGCCGCCATTTTTGCCGCCTACGCTTTGCCCGCCATCATGGCGGCCAGCTTGGAGGCCAAGGCAGAGACAGATGAAAGGCCTGAAGACACGAAAGCGACCTCCAAGGAACCTCTCGAAGCAGCTCAGAGCCTGGGGCCGGCCACTCCTGCAGGAGCGCCGGTCCTAGGGCAGATTTTGCAAAGCCAGCTGGCCTTGCAGCCCGAAAATTTGAGAAG